TGTGCTCTCCATAAGTCCAACTGAGCAACTCCATGTGAGTCTCAGTACAATTGTGCTCTCCATAAGATTTTCAGTGGATGAGTTTTTCAGATGTGAATTGCTAGGTGTTTCTTCTGAGACACATCTGGGCAGACTCAAACCTCCAGCCTTTTGGCTAGCAGCCAAACTCATTAACCATTTGCACCACCAGGGATTATTAATGTATAAAATGAGAGAAAGACTAACAGTAAAAGAAGGTATTCGAAAAAGCTATAACATTCTCAGATCTCTCATTTCTGGGGGCCTAAGGAATACAGATATTTGGCCAAACTTGACCCATTTAGTACACTGGTAAGCTCATTATAGAAGTGCTCCCATCTTGTTAGAGATTATTCTTCTGGCAATTTCAACTGTGTAGAATGTAGCCTTGAATCGAGAAGGGAGCAGAACACACCACTAAATATGTAAAATTGCTGTTGTTGTCAAATTGATTCAGACTCACAGCACCCGTATATTAGGTTTCCACTGACTTTGTGTTTTTAACCGGCATTGTAGTCACCATTAATCTCCAGTACTAAACTCCAGGAGATTTCAGTCTATAAAAGAGGACCTTTGGTTCTGACTCAGAGCTTTGTTGACTCTAACCTACAAACTTTTGTGTGCTTTCCACCCAAATCCACTGCCATCGAGTTGATTCAGACAGATAGCAACCCTGTAGGACAGACTAGAATGACTCCTCAGGGTTTCTGAGATGGTAACTCTTTATAGAAGCAGACAGCCTCATAGTTCTCCCAAGGAGCAGCTGGTGAGTTTGAACTGCCACCCTTGTGATTAGAAGTTCATTGCTTAACCCAATGCACCACTAGGACTCCTTAACACTATGGATTCGAAATAAATGATTGCTCTCATATTTTCTCTCTGCGTCACCTTCCAGACTGAACCCCCATTTCCTACAATTGGTTAATTCCTTCACCTGTGTGAAACCCAGCCATTTGTGTTTAATCTCCAGATGATTTAGATGTACATTAAATTTTGAGATTAGGAAATAGCTTTATTCCATTTTTACACAGGGGGTTCCTGAAGAAAGGTTGAGTGGCCTGTCCAAGGTCCTTCAGCTAGTAAATGGGGGAACCAGAGTTTAAACCCAGGCAGTCTGGCTCCCCAGTTCACACTCTTACCAGGAATGGAAGGAACTTCCATTTGCATTCTTTTAAGTTCAGCATCTGAGCTTTGCACATTCGCTGAAGTCTTTGTTTACTACTCACAGATTGGCTTCATGAACAACGGGAAAATTGAGGCAGCAGACATTGAATATCACATCAACGGAGGCTGCACACCTGATGAGTCTGAACTGGTACGTGACCTACAAAACCAACTATGGTAGTTACATGTGGTAATGGAGGAGTTGGTTTCTAAGAGTGTTAATGAAGATGATCTCTTGTGTACACTGACTCATGCCCATCTTGCATGGAATGCCAATTGTGAACAAGGATGACTTGCATATCTTCAGATCACTAGCACTCCCTGCCTGTGAGGCAGCCAGAGAGCTGTTGGCTTTCTCTGTTGCTTTGGGACACTTTGACATTTCTATTTGCTATACTCTTGTCATGATGTGTCTCCTCAAAAATTTCCTTAGAGATAATTCATTTTCTTTTCTTCATTCCTTCTCTTCTTTTCTCCTCACCCTAAACAAGGCCAGAGGGGATCAGGGAATGTAGTGTATTGCAAAAACCAAACAAACAAACAGTTGTTGTTGAGTTGATTACAACTCATGGTAACCATCATGTATGCAGAGTAGAACTACACTCCATACGGTTTTCAAGGAGTGTGAACTTTTGGAAGCAGATTGCCAGATTTTTTTTCAAGGCTGCTCTTGGTTAATAGTCAAGTTCTTAATTGTTTGTGCCACCCAGTTACTCCTTAGTGTTCTCACAAAAGTTATCTGCAAGTCCTAACTCCTGGTACCTGTGAATGGGATCTTATTTGGAAATACGGTCTTTGCAGATATAATTATGTTAAGGATCTTGGGATGTGATCATCCTGGATTTAGGAGGGTCCCTAAATCCAATATCTGGTGAGCTATAAGAGAAAGCCATGTGAAGATGAAGGCAGAGTTTTGGAGTGATGCACCTACAATCAAGGAATACCAAGGAAAGCCACTAGAAACTAGGAGAGATGCATGGAACAGATTTTCCCTCAGAGACTCCAAAAGGAACCAACCATGCTGATACTATGATTTCAACTGTCTGTCCTCCAGAATACCAATAATAATAATAATGATGATGAATTTCTGTTGTTTTAAGCTACTGTGGTGCTTTTTTACAAAAACCCTAGGAAACTAATATAGGGGAGGGCACACTGGCATCTGAAAGGAGGGCAAAGGTTAGGTAGAACCTGTCCCAAGTAAAGCTCGCTTCTGCTTATGCCAAGGGGAACTTATTTGCTACACACCTCCCAGCTTCTTCTCTCCTGCCTGGAGCCTGGGCCCCATTCTAAAGCTGCCACTGCAAAGCCTCTTGTTTCTGAGTCCCTCACAAGGTTCCTTTCATTCAGTCTAATCCCCCTAACAATAGGTGTGAGGACAGCACTAGCCTGTTTGGCTTCTTTCCATTCTATCAATGTTTCTGCCTACTCTAGAAACTTCTAAACTAGTCTTTTCTCCGCTTGCTCATCTCATGAGGGAAGCACAACCTGTGACCTTTGCTCCCTAGTGATTCCTAGAGTGAAAAGCCACAGTTCACTCCACTTGCAGATGAACTGGGTGAAATTGTCATGGTACACCCAGTCATGGACTTAGAACACACAAAGCTGTCATTTTTAATGCATAAAACAAATGTATTCCCACTTAAATAACAAATATGTGTTCTAGTACATTGGAGGAAGAGAAATGCTGCCCTGAGCTCCAGCAATCATTTGTCCTACCTCCAGAAAAGCTTGGGAATAGCTGTGCCCAATGGACAGAGCTGCACTGTCTGCTCTTTTCTGAACCTGGAGTCAGTGACTCAGAAGAATCTGCAGGGCCCCACTAAGCCATTGAGACCACTCATCTCCCACCCCCCACCCCCACCCTTATCCCATTTCCTCCTGTTTCCATTCCTCCTTTTTCCCTAACCCTTCTGGCCTTCTGAACTTTGTCCTTGGATTAAATGCTGCCCTTTTGATCCCAAATGATTGATTGTTCTAAGGAATGCCTATGCCTACCTCCTTAATGTTATTGTTCCTTTATGTTGTTGCTAAGTGCCATCAAGTCAGTTCATAGTGACTCTGTAGAGGGTTTCCAAGGAGTTGCTGGTGGGTTTGAACTGCCAACCTTTTGGTTTGCAGTACAGTGCTTATCCTCAAGTGCCACACTAGTACTCCATTGTTCCTTTATAAGCCAGTCTTATTTGGCTGAAAATTAAGCCACAGAGAGTGAACACAGTTCTAGGACTAAAGGGTGAATATTGGCCACGGTTTCAGAGGTTCCACTAGTCTCTGTTTGACCAGAAAGCCTGGTCTTTTTTAGGATTTGAAGTTTTGTTCCACATCTTCTACCACTCTATCCAGGACCTTCTAATGTGATGCCCATCAGAATGGTTGGTAGGGGTAGCTGGGCATCATCTGGTTCTTCTGGTCTCAGGGTGAGGATGCTGACATAGATTCACAGAGATCACTCTACTGTGGTCAGACCATTATTAGAAGCTTTTGGCATTTCTTGAGCCTTCATTTCTTGTCTACAGAAAAGAAAGGAAACAAAATCACAGGAAATATTAAAGAAGCTGGAAAACTGTAGCCTACAGGGAAATTAAAAAGGCTGAGTGTTCATGATAACAGTTTTTGGACATCAGGAAATTATTTTTTTAATGCTAACATTAAGTTGTTTTCATTTCGATCATCTATAGAACATAAGTTAGTTTGAATTACAGAAATGAATTTCATCTGCATATGAAAATATGAGTATGTAAATGAAATGCATATAAATGAAAATCAGTAGCTGGTTACTCAAGTAACTGTCCAGGGAACTTGGGAGATTCCTCCTAGTGGTTACTTCTGAATACTGAATAGAGAAACACATCTCAGAAGGGATTTCTCCTGCCTGAAAGGAATTTGATTTGGGTACCATTGATTCCATTCAGACATAGTGACACCGTGTGACAGAGTAAAATTTTGCTGTGGAGTTTTCTTGGCTGAAACAGATCCCCAGATCTTTTTCTCTTGGACCCTAGGTGGGTTTGAACAGCTAATCTTTTCGTTAACAGTTGAGGGGTTAACCATTGTGTCACTAGAGTTTCATAGGAAATCTGGTTAGTTTCTACTTAATACATTATCAGTCTGGATTTCATGATTTTAATCCACTTTCTTTTCAGGTAATAGAATATGCTTTGCTCAAACTGGAAAATGCTTATAAGATTCCCCACCTGCGCGTCCGAGGCCGAGCCTGCAAAACCAATTTGCCATCCAATACAGCCTTCCGGGGCTTTGGTTTTCCCCAGGGAGCCTTTGTAACAGAGACCTGGATGACTGCGGTGGCAGCCAAGTGCCACCTGCCACCAGAGAAGGTAACTTGAGAGAAACTGATAGTCAAGAGAAGTCTTTTCACAGATAAGATCTCAGTCTTACAATTTTCAAAATCATATGGCCTCTAGCATGTTTAGTTTATTTTCTATGCATTTTTTCCTAATAATTATGGACTAATCTAAAGGTTAATGTCTATCATGAACTCACTCTTTGAAGATCTTGGTGTGAAGTCTGTTCTTTTCATCCACCAGGTTAGGGAGTTAAACATGTACAAAACCATTGATAGGACAATTCACAAGCAAGAATTTGATCCAAAGAATTTAGTAAGATGCTGGGAGAAATGTATGGAAAACTCATCCTACTACCTCAGGAGACAGGCTGCAGAGGAATTTAACCAGCAGAATTATTGGAAGAAAAGAGGAATTGCCATTATCCCCATGAAATTCTCAGTTGGATATCCAAAGACATTTTATTATCAGGTAATTTTCAGAAATACTTTGCTAAGTATGGCAAAAAATTTCAAGGACTTTAATAAAAGATCTATTGACATTGTTGTTAAGTGCCATTGAGTCAATTCTGACTCAAAGCGACACTGTATAGGGTTTCCAAGGAGCAGTTGGTAGATATGAACCACCGACCTTTTGGTTAGCAGGGCAGAGTTTATCCTACAGCATCACACCAGGACTAATTTTTAGAAAATCACTTAGCAATTCCAAAGGGTTCAGGTATTGACTTCATAGATTTGTTTATTTTGCCATAGCAATTATGGTGTTATTGATTAATGAACAGTTGCTGATAACGAGGTAGGTCAGCAAGGAAAACTGATCATTAACAAAACATCACAGTTCTGATTTGCAAATCCTTTTGAAGACTCCTTGAAATCACATTAAACAGCTACAAGGGGGCTTTCAAAAGTGCATAGAAAAATTCCATTATCTTTTAATTCCATTTTTTTCCATGAACTTTTTGAAGCCCCCTTATATTGTGTCACTTTGGGTAACCCTCAAGCATGACACCTGGAAGGCGTCTCTGGTCCACAATGCCTGCACCACCCACTCTTGATAGATCTCCATTACAGTCAACAACAACACAGAATACCGGGTCAAGAGGACTCATGAGTTGGTGTTGGAACTCTGTAACAAATATAAAGGTATGTTTGGAGGTTCGGAG